AAGTTTATCTTTTTAGTCTTGTATGTGGATGATATTTTACTAGCAAGTAGTGATCTTGGTTTGCTTCACGAAACTAAGAATTATCTTTCCAAGAATTTTAAGATGGTTGATATGGGTGAGGCAAATTATGTTATTGGGATAGAGATCTTTAGAGATCGATCTCGAGGATTGTTAGGCTTGTCTCAGAAAGGATATATCAATCGAGTTCTTGAAAGATTTAATATGCAGTTTTGTTCAGCCATTAATGCTCCTATCACGAAAGGTGATAAATTAAATGAAAAGCAATGTCCAAAGAATGATTTGGAAAAGGAGAAAATGAAATTGATTCCATATGCATCAGCAGTTGGAAGTCTGATGTATGCACAGACTTGTACTAGACCAGATATTAGTTATGCAGTGGGAGTACTTGGTAGATATCAAAGTAATCCGGGAATAGATCATTGGAAAGCAGCAAAGAAGGTTATGAGGTATCTTCAAGGAACAAAGGATTACATGCTTACTTACAGAAGATCGGACCAATTAGAGGTTATTGGTTATTCAGACTCCGATTTTGCTGGTTGTGTAGATAGTAGAAAGTCCACATCGGGCTTTGTATTTCTACTAGCTGGTGGAGCAATCTCGTGGAAGAGTGTAAAGCAAAGTATTATTGCTTCTTCCACAATGGAGGCTGAGTTTGTAGCATGTTTTGAGGCCTCGAGTCATGCACTGTGGTTGCGAAATTTTATCTTAGGGCTTAAGGCTGTTGACTCAATTGCTAAGCCTTTGAAGATATATTGTGATAACACCGCAGCCGTTTTCTTCTCTAAGAATGGAAAGTATTCAAGTGGATCTAAGCACATGGATCTTAAGTACTTGGTTGTTAAAGAAAGAGTCCAGAAACAACAAGTGTCAATAGAAAATTTAAGTACAACTCTTATGGTTGCTGATCCATTAACCAAGGGATTGCCTATAAAGACATATGAGGAACATGTTATTAGAATGGGTCTTTTGAGCAATCCATGATTTAATGAGTTATGATTATGTAATTGACACTTAATTTATTTAATGAAATGTTTCTGTTTTCCTGTTTCCAATTATGTGTGCACATATTATATTTGGATTTAACAGGGTTTGTCCTAACAAGACAAAATTAAAGGGGCTATTATGGATTAGAATAGTAAGGGTTATTAGTGGCGTGATACATAGAAGGGAATATGATGAATGAATCATATAACCGCTATGATTCACATTAATAACTCAAACTAGTTCTAATATTAAAGTACTCTATTTACCTATTATGGTAATCACCTTAATTTTATTTTAAAATCGTGATCACGTGTCAAATGTTTTGTATGAAGAACCCACCGAGTCAAATAATTTTTTAAACTTGTTTTTCTTAAACGGTTCAATGGGCCAAGTGGGAGAATGTAAGTTTTATTTTTATTTATGGCCCATTAACCTTTGAATTTATTTTATTAAATGTGGGTAATTCAATTAAGGTATTAAGGTGATTTTATGGTAATTGATTTGTAACGTTGATGGCAATAAAAGACCATGATGGGTGGGATTTGTCTTCTGGCGTTACAAATCAATCGTGGCCCTCTTCTCTCATCTATAAAAGAAATCCACAGCTCTTCTCCTCAACCATCAGACGTAAATTGAATTCCATCACTTACAGAAATATTCGTGAGTTGTGATATTAGAGAGATAGAGAGAAGAAGGTGTGCTACGAATAAAGTTCTCAAGGAGATTCGAAGGAGGCCTGGCTAGGCTCGGCTTGTAGATTGCTATCGTTCATCATCTTTATCGGAATTCATGGCGAACGGTATGTCGATAATCCTAATTATGTGTTTATGTTCTTAAGATGAATTTGATTTCAAGATTCTGTGATTAAAGTTTTTCCGCATAAATTAAATAAAAGTCTTTCATTTACTAGATCAAACTCGTTTTGAAACCGGGGAAAAAGTTAACGCAATCGAGAAGTATACTGAATTGTACGAGTACGTTTACTTGGCTGTAGCAAAATAAGGATGGTCATAAGAGCCGATTTTCTTTACATTGACAGATCGATCCAATTATGATCAAACCCAATTGGTTTTACTCTTCGATTTCTCCAAAAAAAAGTCATATCAATAGAGTTGACCAATTGTTCTTTTTCTTTGAATATATAGCAATTAGCAAATGTTGGTTAGTAAAAATCCATAAAAGCCTAACTTTTTTGAGCTTATAATCATCTTCAAAAAGTTTATAATTTAGTCACAATTCAAAATTCTGTAATTAATCCACAGCAGAAGTCTTTGAATTAGGAAGTTGTCGGCAAACAAAACACGTTTTTCCAATTTTTTTTTTTTTTTTTTTGAAATGACAATTATCTATTCAACCTAACTTAGTTTTGTAAATATTTAAAATGGCGTCTAAATTAACAATTTCAGAGCAACAAGTTACACGCTTAATGAAGCTGGAAAAACGTGTCTTATCAAGAAAACAATTGAATTATTCATGGTAGTAGTAGTAGTAATAGTAGGTGTCACGTCACATTTCCATATATAAATTAATACCAAATTGAAGTCAAATTTCATTTTTGTATTCGAGCATGCTGGACAAATTTCGGCTTCAAATAAAAAAAAGAAAATTCCCGAAATTAATTAATTAATAAATAAAAATCATCCACCTCACCTTCCTATATATATATATACACACACAAACCCCTGCACAAAACTATCTTCAATTTATTTTCCCTGCATACCATATACATACAACATAGATACATAATTTGTAGAGTGCAGTTTCTAGAGAGAGAAAGCTAAGTGAAAGAAAAAGAAAGATGATGAAATTGGGAATGATGGTAGAATTAATGGAAGAGTACAGTTTGATAATGGCAAGAATGAGAGAGCAGTTGTATTTTCAGATGCCGCGTCGTCGTCGTCTCGATTTTCACTTCTTCCGGACCCTTCATTCCGCTTCTACTTCCACTTCCGCCGATTCTTCTTCTTTCATTATGTATTTTTAATTTTTTTTATTACACACCAAATACAATTTCTTTTTCTTCTTCTTCGTCTTCTTCTATATACTGATTAATTCAATTTTTGAATATCATTTTTGTTGGTGTTTCACATTTCTTAATTCATTGCAAGTTTCGTAAATCGATCACAACAGGTTATCGATCAACTTTGTAAGTCAATAATTCAATCCAATTGCGAAATGTAGCCGTTTTACTCTCTACAACTATACATACATATAAGTAAAACGAAAAAAAAAAAAGAAACACTATATATAAGTAATTATGCTTTTACTGCATGTCATGAGTATATATAACTATATAATTACTGCATGCTTCCAACTAATTAATTGTACTTACTGCCTAATTACGACAATAACGAATCAATCATCTTTATCATAATACAAACATACAGATAACAGATATATTCGAAAAAATCGCAATATCTAGTTATCAAACATATTATAATAAGGGCGAAGGGCAGATGGTCCGGAAAAATTGGACGCATCCATCTCCAGGGACCATAGTAGCATTTCTTCTTGTTCGTTAGTACTATTAATTAATTAATATATATAATTTAATTTAATTATATATTACAGTAATTGATTTAAAAAGTTTATGGTATTTTGTTTGTTAATGTCAATGATTTGAGGATGCCCTATTCCTTGCAAACACACCATGTTACAATGTATCCCACACATCAATTCATACATGAAAACCTCATAAATGCCACATCTCATCATCACTTAATTAATATATATTATATATACTCCCTCGTCTCGTTATTTATTATTGCTTCCGAAAAACACGAAAATTCGCAATAAATTAAAATAATTTTTCATTATTTTTTTCGTCAAAGATGGTCTTCAATTTAGGTAATTATATTTTATTTCTCAACATAAAAATATGTTTTTTTTTAATTAATTTTAATTTTAATTATTTTTGTACCAAAAATAATTTTAATTAAAAAGGTAATTTTAATTAATTTTGTTTTGTACTTGGGAGTAATTAAGAACCACTCATATGATTTGGGCTGGGTTCGATTCGAGCAGTATGTTAATAAATTGATTGGACCCATTTGGGTGGTTAAAAGAAAGTGGACCTAAAAAATATTGAATTTTAATTGAAAATAAAAAAGTAATTATATAGCCCAGTTGCTGTCACTCTAATGGGCCCACTTGGAATGGTGCCGTGTCTCTATTGCGTGAGAGATAAGAAGGATATATGTTTTTTTTTTTTTATAATTAGTAAATAAATAATCACAAAATAAACAAAATTATTGAAGAATCGAATTTTATATTTAAATTAAGACTAGTCAAATAAATTTGTTATAAATATAAATATCACGAGGGAGGGTCACGATCCAAAAAACATGCATCAATTTATTAACAATTAATTTGTCTGCAGATTTCCAAATATTATCCCGATTTTTCAGCGCAAATGCTCCTAATTAATTAAACCATACTCACATTTGTTTTCTTCTTAATTATGTACTTTTGACTTGGTATTCAAAACTGTAATCGGTATATTATTACCGTATTACATTAATGAGCTGAGCCGACTTGTGAAATTGACGAGCCGACTTGATAAAAGTTTGAACTCGAGCTCGAACCTGATTATAGTTGTTTGACAGCTCGCGAGTCGGCTCACGACCTTCTTATTTATTTATTTTATTTTAAACTATTCAATATAATAATAATATAATAATAATTATTAAAAAATATAATTATTTTATTAATGAGTTAATTATTTTTAAAACTCGAGCATTCCAAAACAGTCGAGCTCGCCTCCTTCACACGCTTATACATATATTAAATTAAATTTATTCCTTTAAAACACAACACATGTGATGAATGAATCATTAAAATATGATTAACTAATTAAACTTGTAGTGAGGAATCCTAATCCTTTTGGAACATAATCTTTTGATTTATAAGGTAATGCTTTTTGACTGGGTTGATTTTTTTTTTTATTTGGATTTTGAAAATAAAAACGTGTTGTTACTTGTTAGGGGCCTTTTTGACCAATTAGTTTTCGTGAGGCCCAAAACGAAGTTATTCAAAACTAGAAGGGCATCAAGTGAAATTCACATCGAGAAAAGGGAAAAGGAAAGGAAAAAAGGAGACCCAGAATCGGCAGAAACACGAAGCGACGGCACACTTCGCTTTGAAGGAGAAGAAAAAACAAATAGTCAATAGAGAAGGGTTTCTCTCTCTCTTCCGTTTCCACTTCAGGTAAAAATCCGTTTTTTTCTTCATGATTATGTGTTAATCCGGTCATGATTATCGACGAGTATCCACTGTTTTTCCAGAATTATGTTGTATCGCTTCCGATCATTGATTTTCCGTATTTTTTTTCTCGAAATTCAGTAAGCTATTATTCATCACCTCGTGTAATTGTTGTTTTTTTTAATTTCGATTTATCAGTCAATTTTGTGAATTCGAGCGAGAATGATGGGTTTGGGGCCTATGGGTAGTGGAGCAGGTGGATATTCATCATCGTCGACCTCGAATTTATCAGCTCTGGCACCTCCGTTTACCGTTGATCGGTTTAACCCTAAACCTAATTCAAACCCTATGTTGCATTACTCCGACCCGTATGCTGTTGATTCGTTTAGCCACGAGTGGCAATATCCAATCCCTTCAGCCCCTACACCTGAATTGGCGATCGATTCCACTGGTTTAAGAAGCCCGCCTTTTTGTGACGATTATCAATTTTCGGCTTCTGCGACTATTAGCCCCTCCACTACCCCACATTGGCTTACTTTTGCTCCCAATACTGAAGCCTCAAACAGTGCATTTGCTTATGGTGGTGATGTGAAGCCGTATTACTCTCCGTATGCTCCTCCTTTGGTTGGAGAAGATAGTTTGTTGGTCAAGGATGAGAGGGCTCATTACAATGTGGTGCCTACTTCTGGACTGAATGTAACATCTCCGATTGATTATACGCAAAGCTTGTTTGATTTGGAGTGTGGACCTAGGTGGATAGATAGTTTGAGATTGGATGATGGGAAGCGGGCTAAGAGAGTGGGACTTGATGGAAGTTTCTCGTCTGAGAGAGCAAATGCTGGCGGATCAACTTCTTTCAAATATGAACTGAGCCTAGGTATGCCTTTTTATCTTTACTATAACTTGGTCACTTAGATGATGTATTCACTACAGTTTGCTATTCTTGAGATATGACGCTAGAGATATTTTTGTTGGAGTGTTCTTTGATTTTCCAGCCTTATGGTTGAAACTTGAAAGGCTTTTTCTATTAGGGTGAAGTTTTTTTCTAATGCGTCGACAGTAGTTCGTCTCCATTGTCTTCTTTTAACAATTTTTTACCAATTTAAGTAAGAATTAAAAAAAAAATTACTGGTCATCATTGATTCAGAACTAAGATTGGTATATTTTTTTAATTGTTTTAGAATACCAGGCACATATTAAACTTGACATATGTAATTTGAACTTTTTAGCTTTGTTTGATGGCCTTGTTCGTTGAACATTTAAGAATAGTACTTTCGGAATATACAACTTCTAATTTTAGAGAGTAGAGTTGAATGGTGCACTATTTGTGATATTTTATGTGTGGGGGTATGCAATTAGAAGTTAGGTCACCCTGAACACGAGTTTCCGGTAAAAGACTCAAAGTTTGATGCACAAGTCTGATCATTTTTTCTTGTAACATTTTATGTCCACTTGGGTTTCATTGTTCATTTATACAAATTATACGCACTTTTCCTTTCATCTCTACTTACCATGCGTGTGTGTGTGTGTGTGTGAGAGAGAGAGAGAGGGTATACATGTGTGGATGTGTCTAGGTCTGTATAGCTTACATAAATTATTTCCCTGTCATCCAGGAGGGTGCCACACTGGAACCATGAAGAACACTAAAGAAGATTCTGGTATTTCATATCAAACATTCTTAAGTGGCAGGGAAGGTGCCAGACAAGTACAAGACAAGTCATGTCTGGAGCAAGATCTTAGCTTCTATCCATACGAAGCAAATAAGGTGCATATTCAGGCATCGAGTTCAACCTACCCAGAATCTTACTCACCAGTCTTATCCTGTGAAATGCACAGCAATTACTCAAACTACCAGATCTCACATAGTCCATTTGAAACGTGTGTTGACACGCCCCTTCCTGGCCCTGTGTCAGTGATAAGGTCTTCTCCTGCAGTGGTCATTAGGCCACCACCTGTTACCAATGGTAATTTGGGAAAAAGTGTTGTTTCTCGTAAACTTGATGGCAGAAGTGTCAATCTTGGAGGGATCCAAAGTTTAGATCTTAATAACTCCAATCCCTCAAAACGAAAGGATTTTGGCCTAAGACCAAGCTCGGAGACCCAAGAAGAATCATTTGAAGCAAACCTTTTCGACTTCCCTAAGAAAGGAAATGATATCAGCCCATCATCTTCAGTGAGAGAACTATCAAGCCCACTGCATTGTAGGGATACTTATGACCGCAACTTTAAAGCAAGATTTGTATCTCAATTACCGGATAGAGATCTCTTAGGTGGTTTTGCTGTGGCTTCTGATAATTTTCAAGTTATTGACTCCACTGAGGATTCTTCCGATTTCGTAGATCATCACAACCCAGCAGAGGATTCGCCTTGTTGGAGAGGAGCACCATCTTCTCAATTTTCACAATTTGATATTGAAACTGGCAACTCTAATCATGTCAGAAAGAAGTTGGATGAATTTTATGGATTTGATCATGAAGAGCATCAAAATATCCACTCAATAGTTGATTCAAGTGGAGTGTTTTCTGAAAAAGATGGTGAAGGTTACAATAACAATGAAAATCAATCTGGTGGATTTCATCCATGTTCAAGTAAAAAAGCGAGTTTACATAATGATGCAAAAGGCGGAGTGTGGGTTTCAGCTATAAGTGGCGATGACCCTAATATGCCAAGAATAGGATCTGGCACTCTAAACAACTTGACGAGTGTCTTTCACATGAATGTTTTGGACACTTCACAACTAATTGGTGAAGAGGGGTCTGGGACGAGTCAGAATGATGTCTCTGAAGCTGGTGCCGTTGCAGTTCATGCGGCTGAGGAGGTTTTAGCTTCACCTGCTTCTCAAGAAGATGCCACTGAACCAGATCCAAAATTGAACGTGCCAAAAATCATTAAGACAATGCATAATCTTTCAGCGTTGCTTCTGTTTCATCTTTCAAGTGATACCTGCTCTCTAGATGAAGAAAGTAGTGAGACTCTCAAGCACACAATGAGCAACCTTGGTTCATCTTTGTGTGAAAAACTCAATCGGGCAACTAATCACCCCGAACCAAAGAATCATGTCGGAGACACTTCTGACAAACTTGGAGAATCTCGTGAGGTGGTATGCATCTTTCTGTACTTGTATAACTATGCAAATGGATGTCTAACTTATCCTTCTAGGGTTTGTAAGAGCACTTTCGATCGAGTGTCTTTAGCTTTGTCAACATTTTCCGCTTCTCCCCTCCTGGCTATGGCCAATGTCTGTACTGCCCTGTGGAGTTCGGTATTTGATGTTTTAGATCTTTTTCAGTAACTTGCTTTTTTGTCAGTTTACAATTTCAGGAAATCATAATATGGCCAATGAAGCTGCAAACCCTCACATCAAACTTGATTATCATCAGGTCCATGAGGGAGAGAGAACTTACAGCCTTCCTGGTAAGAAAGATGATAAATCACCGGTTTTTTCACCCTTGAGGGATGACTTAGACATAACAAGTGATGATGATATGGCTAAGGTATGTGCTTTACTGCAAGTATTTACGCGAACCGGAAGAGAATGAAATCTGAACTGTGGCCATTTGGAAATATAGTATGTCATTCACTGCTGTGTCCATGCTTGCAGGCTATAAAAAAGGTGCTTGATGAGAATTTTCACTTGAATGAAGATATGGACTCACAAGCACTTCTTTTCAAGAGTTTGTGGCTCGATGCAGAAGCAAAGCTGTGTTCCATCACTTATAAAGCTCGCTTTGACAGAATGAAGATACTTATGGATGAAACTAAACTCAAGGCACAACAAGGTTAGAATTTGCATCATGATAGAACATATTTGTATCAATGTGCTATCTAATCACGATCCTGAACTATTTCAGAAAACGAGAATATTGCACAAATGCTGTCAAAAGTCAGCATTTCAAAACCAACCTTGCAGAACATTTCTTCCTTACCTGAGCATGCTGAAGATGTCGAGACTTCAGTCATGGCCAGATTCAATATCTTGAAATCTCGAGAGGACAATCCAAAACCACTGATCATAGAAAAGGAACAGCAAAATGAGTTGGTTGATGGTGAGCACGAAGGTACTATTATGGCCAGATTCAATATCCTGAAATCACGCAAGGAGAGCTGCTCAAAATCAAGTAGTAATATCAAAGAAGAACAAGAATCCAAGATGATTGAAGGTGAGAACTGCTTTGGATCATACATGAGAGGCCAGACAGAAGATGAAACAACCTTAAATGTGGCAGTGAAACCACCACCTCATTTCCTGCAGCGAACTGGCAGCCTTCAGAGCGAAGGCAAATTTAGCTGTGGATATGAAACTCTGGATGAATTTCATCTCTCTGTGAGGAATGATCCAATAATCGATCCTTTCAAGAAAAACAGGATGGTTGATCAAACTAACAACTCTGCTTGGCCGGATAGTTCTTCCTCTTCAGACTGGGAACATGTGATGAAGGATGAACTTTCGTGGAAGAATTCGTGAGCTATGAATCGGGTTTTTTGAGGTTGCTGCAAAGACTGTGAAATAATCTCTCTTTTTTTTGTGAATAAAAATGCTTCTTCTTGCTAATCCTAATGTCTTGTTGGTAAAACGTTGGCTTGTGAATATCTATTTTTCATGTACAAATCAAGATCGTGTGCGCACTTTGTTACCAAGTAATTTTAGGAATTTGTGAACTTGTTTCTACTTTGTTATGTTGGCATTTTCGTTTCTTTTCTTTTTCAAATTTTGATGGTTGAATATAAAAATTACCCTGTGGTTTTACGCGGAGGTATTGAAGAAGCAATGCCATATTCGGCATCAAGGGAGTGTGGATCCTAACAGGGTTGATCCGATGAACTTTAGCCCGGCCCGTTTTGACAACAGTTATTACGCCGGCGTTTTAATGAACAGGTGTTTGTTTACCTTGGACACTCACCACAAGCCCTAATTCTTTTGCTCATGTCCAGGAATATGCAATGGACAACATAAAGTGGCGGCAAGATTTTGCTGAGGAAGTGATTAATACGAGTCGGATCGAAGTGCTTACTGGGAGTGATGGAGAAATTCGTTTAAACTGTCGCGCGATTAGTTAATAATTAATTTACTAAGTAACATAATGACTGTCCTGGTTTTTTCCTGGTTATTTACTGTCATCAAGAAGATTTTAGTTTATGATTCATATTTACTCTACAGTGAAAGAGTTTACTGCAAATTATTGCATGTGAGATCTGATTAAATTCAACTGGATTAGGTAATGCAATAATAATATGAAAAAGAGCAAGAATAGCATAAGCAGACAAAAATCCAAGCATAATTATCTGATAATATCATCTAATCTAACCACTAATTTTGTATCTTCATGCACCTAAGTCAAAGTATAAGTGGATTCCATTTCATCACTTATTGCATGAAAACCCTTTAATATATGAGGCCTTGCATTATTATATACTAATTAATATTATTAAGCACACAATTACTCGTTCAAACTTAATTACTCCGGTTGCCCTTTCTTTTTCGGTATTCACTTATTATCTTCTACTCGTGAACAAGTTAAAACGACATTTACAGCAAGTCGACGAGTCATTTGTCACTAAATAATATAGAAAAATAAAAATAATGGAGCCATAATCTTTGTCTATAAGTAGCACTTTTTGTTAATGCAAGTACTCATCATCAAGCAAACAAACTCGGAAAAAAGAAAAAAAAAAAAAGAATCATGAGTTGCAAACAATTTCAGACATTTGTTTCAGTGCTTTTGTTTCTGTGCATTGTTGAGTCAGAAGCTCAACTTCAGACGGGGTTTTATCGAAGCTCGTGTGGCATAGCCGAGTTTATAGTTAAACAAGAAGTCAGAAATGGCTTCTTCAAAGACAATGGGATTGCTGCTGGACTTGTTAGATTACATTTTCATGACTGTTTTGTCAGGGTAATTATTATATTTATATATTTCACATTTTACAACAATATTCTTCATGCATATAAACTAGGTCAAAAAATATATATATTTCTTTTTTTTTAGGGATGTGATGGATCGGTGCTGATAGATTCCACGGCATCAAACAAGGCGGAGAAAGATTCACCGGCGAACAATCCGAGCCTAAGAGGATTTGAAGTAATCGATAATGCAAAGGCCAGGATTGAAGCCTTTTGTAAAGGCGTTGTTTCGTGTGCTGATATACTTGCTTTTGCAGCTCGTGATAGTATCGAGATCGTAAGCTAGCTAGTTCTATATACCGTACCGTTTTTCAGTCATAATTTAACGCACGATTTAATTAATACATTTATTTTTCAGACAGGAGGATTTGGGTACGATGTCCCTAGTGGGAGGAAAGATGGGAGAGTTTCTTTAGATACAGAGGCATCACAAAATCTGCCACCTCCTTCTTTTAATGTTAATCAACTCACTCAAGCTTTTGCTAATAAAGGTTTAACTCAAGAAGAAATGGTTACCCTTTCTGGTAATTAATTAACATCCTTTCCAAAATTCCGATTTTTTTCTGAAAAGAACACTTATAATGTGACATCATAGGTGAATAAAATTTTTGAAATTCCCAAATTCCGCCAAGTTTTTTCATTCTAATTTTCGACTGGATTTTTTTTAATGGAATTTGATTACTTTTCTACTTAAAAAAAAAAAAAAACTAATTTCATGTTATTTTGTTACTTGCAGGAGCGCACACATTAGGTAGGTCCCACTGCACGTCATTCAGCAACAGGCTGTACAGTTTCAGCACAAACACGAGCCAAGATCCGAGCCTAGATGCGTTTTACGCGAGCCAGCTGAGGCAACAGTGTCCACGTGGCACGGGCCCGAATCCGGTGGTCCCCATGGACCCATTCAGCCCGGCCCAGACCGATGTGGGTTACTACAGAGGTGTATTGTCTAATAGAGGCCTTTTTACCTCGGACCAAACCCTAATGACAAGCCCAATAACACAGGCCCAAGTTTTCCAAAATGCTCAGAACCCTTTCCTTTGGGCAAACAAATTTGCTGCTGCTATGGTTAATATGGGCAAGATTGGTGTTTTAACTGGTAATTCTGGTGAGATTAGAGCTAGTTGTAGAGTGATTAACAGCTAATGCAAGTGCTTTATTATCAAGTCATAATCCTTTTCTTATGTGTACTTCCAATTTTAATGGCAGCTGCCAGAATAAAATACTCCCAATTAGTGCAAGATTTGAGTTTTATTTAATCAATCGTATACCTATATAATCACGAGGAATCACGAGGCAGGCAGTCGTAAATACATCCACATTATGCACTTCAAATACGGAATGTAATCATACGCTAAACTAATTCTCAAATTATTATGGACAATGTCGAACGAAGATTCATGTGCCTCAACTGCACACAATCTTCACCAGCAAAACGGAAAACAAGGCAGCAAAATTTCATCACTCAACTATGCTATAAGCTAAATCAAGATAACGAAATTCAAATCGCCACTCGCAAAAAAAAAAATTATTAAAAAAGAAAAAATGCAAGCTTCAATTTGCGGGTTAATTACGAACCGTGTTTAGTTGGTCAACTCCATAATGGCACTAACAATGTCACCACTTTGAGTCTGGAGAGCCTTGACTGCCTTATTCCTGGACACGCCTGCTTGCGTCATTACCAAATCAATGTCACGTGGCTCGACACCTGTCTCGTCGACTTCTTCAACATCTTCCTCTTCCTCGTCCACCTGTCCAAATGCAGCAGAGTGGAATAATTCCGATTTTGCCATTACAGATTCCTTGTCGGGAATCCGGAACTGCTGAGCAGCTTGCGTCTGAATTTGAGAGCTCAAATCCTCAATCTTGGCTTCTCCGAATATAACGTAGGTTTCGGAATTTGGGCTCTTGAAAACATCCGGCTTCGAGATGAAGAACATTATCTGCAGAGCATTGTGTCAATTGATTAAAACAGGGGGAGCGAAAATAAAAATAAGATAAAAACAAATATCATAAAGGGGGATTTACGTTTTTGGTTCTCTTGATGGTAACCCTACTAACGCCGGTAATAGGTTTCATTCCGAGTTTCAACATCGCCTTACGGCTTTTCTTCTCGCTTCTGCTTTGCTTGTTACTATCGTTTGCACCTGTTCGATTTTTTCAATCAACAAATATATGATCCCAATAATCAAATCACACTCAAATGAAAATTCAAACGATTTGAATTATATAACATTGGATCGATTTCCAGATATTAGATAAAAGATGAAATATTTCAATAATCAGGATTAAAAATTTGGCAAACAAGCAATCAATCAAACACTAACCAAACATGCAAAATCCCAAACGGAAGAACAGTAGCAGATATTTAATCATCAGAACACGTAAAATGCAAAATCAAACAATGCCCGGAGAGAAGAAAAAAACAGACCAGGGCTGACGTCATCATCGGCGTCGGAATAATCAGCGAAATCATCGTGATCCTCGTCTTCCTTGACATCCTCCACCAATGGCAAATCCTATACCCGACAAAACAAAAAACAAAATTGGTTGTAAGAACAATGCGACAAAAATCAGATAATAAAAAAAGGTACCTGTACCGGAAGCTTTTTGGGGGCTTCAGTTGATTCAAAAACGGGAACTCCCATGGCTGCAGAATGTTTGGGGAGCTGTGAGAAAGTGAGAGAGAGAGAGAGAGAGAGAGAGGCAAAAGGAGATTTGAGAGTGATGAGTTTGTTGCGTTGGAATAGATAATTAATTGAATGGGTTTTCATTTCATTTCTAGGGTTCCTCCAGCCCATCAATTTTGGGCTTCTTCTTTCCTAAATCGGATTCTATTTTATTACTCTTTAGCCCAACTAAGTTCATAATTTCTTTTCTTTTATTATTATTTTTATTTATCTATCTATTATTATTATTATTGAATCTTTTGCAAAAAAAAATGTCAACTATTATTCTATGTGATAACATCAAATTGTTAACTCAATTTCATCTTTTTTGCTTTTAAAATTATTGAATTCCCAACCACTTAGAATAAATGTTTTTTTAGTGAAATTCGAACTCATAATCTTTTAATTTTATATTCTCTTGCTCCACCAACTGGATCACTCTTATCAAAATAAACTCGATTTCGTCTTCTAGTAGAGAGTAATAAAGTAAAAATAAATCTCCGGGATTCATTGTAATATCTTTATAGGTACTCATAACTTCAAAAATTTAACCTAAATTTCTTTTGTAATAATTGAAACAACCCTCTCAATAGCAGTTCAAATAATTAACAAAAACCTCAATGAAATGAGAAAAAAAAAAAAAAACCTTAAATTTCTTCAAATATTTACATCCTCATCGAACGATTTATGAAAGAGCCGAAAACAGACAAGACATCCATAAATAAACAACATCGTCGAATCAGCACAAAACAACTAACAATATTGTGATCAAAGTTCTTGCATTTAACATTCAACTATACAAAAAAAAATTATTAATACTGCAAAATCGAACCTCCAATAAACAAAATGCTAATGTCGAAGATGCCAATATGGCAG